TCTTAACTTATCAATCTTGCGATTGTGATGCCATTTTTCATCTCTATTCCTTTTTTGTCTTTATTATTTTCCTTCTTATTTCAATTTCTATTCTTATGCTAATAATTCTATTTTGTTTGTTGAATGCAATTCAATTCAAGATCGTTTAATTTGACAACACGGATCATGATTGTCATCACCTTCACACTAAAGAAAGGAGGAGAACCAAGCCCCTCCTCATTTTTTAGCATTGAGTTATCATCATTATCAGTAGGGTCATTACGATCAATTTTAACCTTTTAGGCCTCTAGATAGGAATCCTATTTGTGTCCATACTTCCTACAACTAAAATAAATTAAGTGAAAACCCTCATATTACACCCTAAATTCTTTGCTTAACACCTTAAATGAAGGAATCAAGTGTTTTCTAAGGCCTAGTTCAACACAAATCCTAACAAATCTACCTCTTGACAACAAGGAAGTATATGGTTCAATCTTTAACATTGATATCAGACACACACCTACCTACCATAGGAATTTTTTAATATATAATTCCAGAGATAAGTCTGAGATTCACACTCAGGTTGCTATTTTCTCAAACTATGGTCCTGAGGCATAAAAAGAGGTCTTGTTGTTCTAAAAGACAGTAATCTAAAATAAGTCAATGTCTCTCAAAGAAGGCATGCTTATAATCATCTATATTTTTGAATTTAACTAAAAAAAATTATTATTTAAATTAAAAAATTTTAGGGGACCATTTCTCCCCGAAATGTGACCTAATTTTTTGGTCAGATAATTACAATTTACCAATATACCTAATTGTTTAACAATTAAGGTGAACTTTTATGGTGAACACCATATCTCATAATTATCCAAAGTAATTTTTAAGTTGGGGCAAAAATTTTGAATTACATTTTTATTTATTATATTGAGCTCCTCGGTACCATACAAGATATTAAAATCATTTAAAACATATTTGACAATTGAGAATGTGTTATACAAAAAAAATCAGGAGGAAGTAAGTTACTACTCATGCTTATTAGGGATGGAAACAGGTCAGGCCGCCTGACAGGGGCCTCTGACCTGGCCTGGTTTAGGCCTGGCCTGACCTTTTTAATAAACAAATCAGACTTAGGCTTTTTTTAAGACTTGTTTAAGTAAATAAGCCAGCCCTGAGCTATTTATAAAACCTGTTAAGCTTGACAGACCGACCTCTATAAATAAATAAATATATATATATATATATATATATATTATAGTTTAAAAATAGAGTTGTCAAAATATTTAAATAATTATTTAATAATATATTTTTTATATTCTTAATTCTGTTATAATTTTATTTATTTATAATTATAATAAACAAAAATTATATTCTATTAAAAATTAAAAATATTTATACATGATTACACTTTTTAAATAATAAATTTATTTAATAATAAATTATTACATTTATTATATTTAAATAATTTAAAGAATAGTTAAGTCTTTGAACAGGAATAAGACGTAATCAAAACTAAATAAAATAAAATTTAAAAATAAAATAATAAAATTATATTAACATATTTTTTATACTCTTAATTTTATTATTATTAATTTAATTATTTAATTACTATATTAATATATTATGTTATAATTCTTTTTATTTATAATAAATAGAAATTACTTAAATCTAAATTATATTTTATTTGAAAGTAAACATTTATAAAAAAAATAATAACAAAATAAAATAAAAAACTTATTATAATATATATATATATATATATATATTATCAGATCATCTAGCAAATAATATAAATAATATAATTATAAATAAATTATATAATAATATATATTTTTGTAACTTGTACGTATTTTAATTAAATTATTACTTAATTTATCAATTTATATGTAATATATAAGTATGTGTTTTAGTTTACTGTATCAGTAATAATTTCTATATTACATTAATGTTATAGTGTAGTTAATTTTATGTTTACTTGTTGCTTTAAAATAACAAATTAATGAAACAAATAAAATTAAATATTTTATAATTATTTTTTTAATTTAATAGTTATTATTGTTGTCATTTTATATATATATATATATATATATATATAGTACATTAAGTTTAAATTTTTATATTAAGTTTTATCACATATTTTTTAATTAAGATAAAAATTTAGAAATATAAGTTATTTTAATTTAAATATAAATTTTAATAATTCTTCTTATATTTATATGTTATTTTTTTGCATCTATGAATTTTATAATATAAATATTTTTTATTTACAATTTTTATAATGACGATATTTATTTACTTTTTAAAATATAATAAATTTTTAGCTGATTCAATAAATTTTGTAAGTGTTATTTTTTGTTATCAATTTTATGTGTTTACTGTGATTTTATTTATTGAATATAAGATGTCTTTATACAAACAAAATATAATTATTATAAAAAATAATTAACTATTTAATAAATTTATAAAATTAAATTAAAAAAATAAAAATATAAAAATTTTATAATATGAAAATATTTATAATTAATGCTCAAATAATATTTTAAAAATTATTTATAAAATTGTGTAACAATTATTACAATTATTTAATAGTTATCAATAATACAAATAAAAATTTGAATATATGTAAACTAATTTGATAATAAAATAATTATATTTTTATTAATATTATTCAATAACATAATCATTATAAATTTTTAATATTATACAAATTTTATTTTATTTTTTATCTTTTCTTAAGCAATTTTATTGGTATAAAATTTATAATAAAAAATTTCAGTGATTGTATTCACTACATCACAACAAATTATAAACCTAGCACAACCATATACTTTTGAGCCAAAACTGCTATCGCACTTATTTTTTTATTCTTGTTTTATTATTATCTATAGCTACTTTGAATATAAATATAAGGTAAATTATTATATTTATTTGAACAAGCTAAAGAGCAGCAAAGTCTTCGAATAAGATTAGAACGCGATCAAAATTAAAGAAACTAATATTTAAAAATAAAATAATAATATTATATTAATTTATTTTTTATATTCTTAATTTTATTATTATTATTATTTAATTATTATATTAATATATTATGTTATAATTTTTTATTTAGAATAAATAAAAATTATATTATATTCGAAACTAAAAATATTTATACACGATTACACGTGTTTAAAAAATAAATTTATTTAATTATAAATTATTATATTTGTTATATTTAAACAAGTTGAAGAAGAATAAGACACGATCAAAACTAAACGAATTAAAATTTAAAAATAAAATATTAATATTCTTTTAATAAATTTTTTATATTTTTAATTTTATTATTATTAATAATTAATTATTATATTAATATATTATGTTATAATTTTTTATATTTATAATAAATAAAAATTTCTTAAATATAAATTATATTTTATTTGAAAAGAAAAGTTTATAAAAAATAATAAGAAAATAAAATAAAAAATTTATTATAATATATATTAAGTAATATATATATATAATCAGACCATGTAGCAAATAATATAAATAATATAATTATAAATAAATTATATAATAATATATATTTTTATAATTTGCACGTATTTTAATTAAATTATTAGTTAATTTATCAGTTTATATGTAATACATAAGTATATGTTTTAATTTGTTGTATCAATAATATTTTTCATATTACATTAATGTTATAATGTAGTTAATTTTATGTTTATTTGTTAATTTAAAATAACAAATTAATGAAACAAATAAAATTAAATATTTTGTAATTATTTTTTTAATTTAATTGTTATTATTATTGTCATTATATATATATATATATATATATTGCATTAAGTTTAAATTTATTTATTTTTTAAAACATAATAAATTTTTTTAATTGATTCAAGAAATTGTTTGAGTGTTATTTTTTTTTATCAATTTTATGTGTTTACTATAACTTTATTTGTTGAATATAAGATGTCTTTAAACAAACAAAATATGTTTCTAAAATAAAACTAAAGTATTTACTTTATATAATTTTTAAAAAATAAATCAAGAAAAATATTAATATAAATTTTATTAATATAGAATATTTATAATTAATACTTAAATAATTTTTTAAAAATTATTTATAAAATTATATTAATATTATTATAATTATTTAATATTTATTAATAACATAAATAGAAATTAAAAAAAATATAAACTAATTTGATAATAAAATATTTATATTTTTATTAATGTTTTTTTTTGTAACAGACTTTGTTAACAGGTTTCAGGGCAGGTCAGACCAATTAAACATGTCAGGTCAGGCTTAAAATAAAGTCTTTAATATGTAACAGGCCAGATTCAAGCATAATAATTATATTACAGATCAGGTCTGTTTAAAGTATAATTTAACCTGTCTTAACTTATTTCCATCCTTAATTGTTATAGAACTATTCATTTTACTCGAGCTAAAAAGATAAAAAATTAAACAATTAAGAAAACTACATTGCTTTCTATATATTCATGTTGTTATACTTAGCAGGCTTTTTTCTGCGGTAGGTTACAAGCGTTTAGAAAAGTGTGCTTACTTTTTACCTATGAAGAGTGCTTAGAATGGCATTTTGATACAACAAACTAATCCTACAATTAGCACTTCTCCTTGCCTTTTGGGTTAAACATTTATCCAATTAAAGACTTTATTGGCGAGGGCCCGCTATTGCCTTGTTTACCCCATGCGGAATATGACAACACATTCAGAGGGTCCCATTTCCTCCACCCCTTTTCCTAAAATAGCCCCATATATAATAATATAATAATAATATAAAAATATAAAATGATTTACAACTACAGAAACTCATCCTTCCATTTGGCACCGAAAATCAGCATGGCGTTATCAAAACAACAAACAAATTAATTATTAATTAAACCACAGGATTTCCTAATTAAATTAACAATTTAAAAAATGGGTTTCCCACTTCCACAGACCAAGCATTAGCATTTAGCAAGCATTATATGTGATGGAAGAGAAAGTTAGAATTCTGAGAATTCGCATCCCTCGTTGTAGTTTGCGAGAACCTCTCTCTCTTTTGGTACGGTTTTGGTTGTGCCCACTGTCCTGTTTCGGTTTCTGTTTCCTTTCAGAACAGAATCAAATCAATCCTTCACCGCTCATTCAATTCATTTTCTTCGGTTTCCCGTTTTTTTCCTCAAAAATAAAAACCATAACTTTGCTTTTAAACTTGAAACCCCACCCTGAGATTTCGCCTCCAGAATCTTGATCCCTTCATCCAGAGACACCCTTTCTTGTTTTCTTCCCATTGGGTTTCTTCTTCTTCCTTGTTTGTGAAAATGGCTTCTAGTATAGGCATGATGGATAGCGCGTATTTTGTCGGCAGAAACGAGATTCTCACTTGGATCAACAACCGCCTTCAACTTAACCTCTCTCGCATTGAGGAGGTAACCCTTTTGATTTCTACCAACATTCATTAAAAAGAGAATATTTTTATTAGAAATGGAGTTTCTTTTTCTTTCTATTTCTCTAGTTGAGTGTGTTTTTTCTTTTATCACATTGTGAATGCCATTTTTTTCCCTATCTTTTTATTTTCATACATAATGGCATCTTACATTTTTCCTCTTATTTAGTAAGAGTGTTATTTTCGTTGCGTTTGGGTTGAACTGAATGGGGTCTTTCGAAAGAATGAGAACAATTGCTTTTCCATAAGCAGTTTAGCACCGGCAATTGTTTGATCTGTTTGTTGGATTTTCGTGTCCACATTGTGGATTTTGGGAGAAAATATTCAATGATACTGTTTTAGTGTTTCTGTAATTTAGATTATTAAAGCATGATATATCCTTTTTTTAAATTAATCTTTTTTTTCCCTCAAGATTCTACAAAATTGTCCAACCTGTACTTGTATATGCAGCGTGCACCACTAGGTGTGGGTTTCAAAAGAATTTGGACTTTTAAGGATGTTGATGATTACATTTGCCAGCTGCTAGTGTCAATGGTTTGTTCGAATGTGAACATCCATGCAACTTCAATTGTTTTTTTATAAGCAATTTCAATTGCTTTTGCATCAAGTTTATCTGATTTATTTTCCTTTTCCCTCCCCTTTCCCCATTTTTTTTTTCTGAAAAGCAATTTTGGGGTAATAATCTATTTCATTACTAGATAAAAGGGCACAATAATGACCGAAAAATGATCAGTTAATTTCTAATTTAATTGAGCCTAATATCTATGATGAAAATCTTGTTTTTGGTTTGGTCTCTGGCTTATTCGTTATGAACTTTACCAGGCGGCATCTGGTGCTGTACAATGCCAGATGATGGACATGACATATCCAGGGGTTGTTCCAATGCACAAGGTGGTAAACATGACTGTGCTTTAACTTCTTTTATGCTTTTCTGGTATTGTTTTTTTTTTTTTTATCAATGGAGAGTAATTTTTTGAATTTGGAGTTTGTTCTAGGTAAATTTTGATGCAAAGACAGAGTATGATATGATCCAGAATTACAAAGTTTTACAGGATGTGTTCAACAAGCTGAAAATTGACAAGGTATCTGTTCTTCTCATCACAGTGTTAAGAAGAATACTCGGAAGAGAGCCTTGCTTTAGTAAATATGAAAGCAAGAAACAATGGTGGGATCGCTTATTATATTTATTGTAGTATCAAAATCAACATTTCTTCTCCAAAATTTTAAACTTTCAATGGAATGATTTACCACTGGCAAAATTTTAGCATATGGGTAAATAGTGCATTTATCAAGACCTAGAAGTTCGAATGAATGGAAGTTAACTTTTAATTATTTGATACCATTCCAACATTTTTCTGCCCCAATTTACATCCTTATGTTCGTACCACTGGCTGACTGCAATTTTGGGGGCCTTATCTCTCTAGTTTTGTGTGCATTCTGAGTTTATTGTTCAATCCCAATCTCCTTACTTTCTTGGGCAACGCATTCCTAGTTTCATTGGTTGCATACTTTTTATGCAAGGGTGTGAATGTTCTTACTGATTTAATAATGAATGTTTTTCAGATTAAAATGTTTCTTAAGTTTGAAAACTAGTATATACTTTGGCATAATTCGTGGATGATATTTGCATTTATTGGAAAAACTTGACTACCATGTGGCAGCATATTGAGGTTAGCAGGCTTGTTAAAGGCCGACCTTTGGACAACTTGGAGTTCCTGCAATGGCTGAAACGTTATTGTGATTCTGTAAATGGTGGCATTATGAATGAGTATGCTCTTATTCCTTTCAATCCTTTAAACAGTTTTGACCATCTCTATTCTATATTACTTGTAGAAATACCTAATTCTATCATTTATTGTATGATATATGTCGAATGGATATTGAGTTTAAACATCGACCTAATCTATGATGAAATAGTGATAGTTGGTGAATAATAAAGTGCCGTGTCAATTTTGAATCATAAACAATACACTAGGGACTGAATAATAAAAAATTAATATAAAAATATTAAATTAATAAAAAATCAAAACCCTATTCTTTTTATTTGAGTTTCTCATAAGAAGGCTGTTCCAGTTGCTGTGCGTGGTGGTGACAGCTGAAGGATTATGCTCTGTGAGTTCGCTTGCTTAATCCAAATAGAGTCAAATTTTGGGAACATGAGAAAGTAATTCCAGTTGCTGGGCGTGGTGGTGACAGATGAAGGATTATACTATGTATGAACTCTGGTCTATGGTAAGCCACCTGTTTGGGCAAGTGTGTAGCCACAATGTCCCTGACAAAGAATGTGTTCAGACTTTAGCATAAGCATAGGCATTGTAGTTTGTGTTCTTAAATTCCGGAGATGTACTTTGAAGGGGAAAGGGATTCGTTCTGATCTCTCTCATGGGACCGACTTATCATACATTTCAAAACCAAAAGTGCGAGGGAGAGAAACTAAAAGTTTAAAAATTAAATTTTGTTTTAATTTTGGTCTTACTTTTAGTTTCTTTTAAATCATTTATGTTTATTGTTTAATCCTTTATGTATTATTTCTTTATTTATGGCATTGTATTCTGTAATTCACTGCTGATCTATTCTAGAATAGGTCAATGTTCCATTGTTCTCTCTGTTTTTTTGTTTTTTTATTTTTTTATTTTTTGTGGTTACACCATTCCCTAATATATTTTAACTCATGCTTATTTTTACAAATAGTTGGGTATGCAATATTATTCCAATATGTTATTGTCAATATATTTTATCAATTTTTTTCCTTTTTTCTTTTGGTAGGAACTACAATCCTGTGGAGCGTAGGGGTAAGGGTGGAAAGGACCGAAATGTTAAGAGTCTAAAGAGCTCAAAATCCCTGCAAACAAATACTATGAATCATTCTAGTTCAGGCGACTCACTCGGTACAAACAAAACCTTTTGTGATCCTAAATTGTTTTTGCTTTTCTGATGGTGGTTTTCCCATGTCACTCTTGTTTTTCTTCTCATCCTTTTTTCTGTTTTCCTTCTTTTTGGGTTTATGAATTTTTGAGTGTAGGGCCCAAGCAATTGAGGTCAAGTGGAGGAGCAGATGGGGCTAATTCTTCAACGGAGATTCAGGCCTTGTCCAAGCAGGTATGACTGAAGAATTAATTTGCAGTATCCTGTGAAAGTAATAGAAATGGCATACAAGAGATAAACCTCCTTTGAGCATTGAAGCATAACTTGATGCATATTAAATAGCCAAAGAAGCCTTTGAACTTTATGTGCTTCCAGACTCACCTGACAATCTTTTAGTACTTGTATTGGTTTTGCTGTTTATAGTTTGTCTCATTATCATTTAATGAAAAAACTATTTACCTTTATAGTTTTTCATTGTTCACTAAAGTTTTCTGTTTCTCAGGTTACTGATCTCAAACTCTCGGTGGATCACTTGGAAAAAGAAAGAGACTTCTACTTTGCTAAACTAAGGGATATAGAAATTCTTTGTCAGGCTACAGAACTGGAGAACGATCCTGTAAGACTTATAAGGAATGCTTGCATTGCAGTTTAGTTTATTTTTTTCAAAATGGATTTGAGAGGTCTATTACTTTTTGGTATGCTTGTGATTCATGGTTAACTATTTTGTACTTCTGCGTATATTTCATATTCTATTCTCATGATCTAGTCAATGATTTTCTTTCATCTTAAATTCCTAATATTTTTGTTTACTGGATATGGGGGTCAAGATTGTGGTCGATCATAAAATATTTCAAAATCAGCAATTTTAAAGAAAAATCATCCGAGCATTTATTTAACATGGTGTAAAACGGTAAAATCATATATTTCGTGTGTTTTTTTATTTTTATTGATGCAGATGTCTGTGGCAATTAAGAAGATTTTGTATGCTGCTGATGCAAAAGGATCCGCATTAGATGAAGCTCAGGAATTCCTTAATGAAGCGATGAATGGCGATGAAGCTGAAGCAGAAACTGAAGCCTGATTACACCCAGAAATAGGTCCTTGTAAAACAAGCTTAGTGGCATCTTTGATGACCAAGACTGGAAATCCTTGCTCGTGCCATGGCCATAAAGTGCTATTTAATGACATAGCTTTAGTTGCATGGTCCTTCTGGTTTCTTCCTGTAAGCCTGAATGGATAATCAGATATTCTGGTTCATGTTTCCAAGAAATAAAGCTCATCTCATCATCTTTTTCATCTATTCAAAGTGAACTTCTCAAATAACGTTGCTTTTGAAATGGATGTGGTTCAACCTTACGTTTGTCTGAAATGTTTCTCATTCACAATGACTCTATTGCTTTGCTATGTTCAATTTCTGTTTCATATAAATTCGTATGATGTGCCAAACTTTATAACCGTGCGCGCGCGCATGTGATGCCTCAATTAACGACGATTAGATCATTTAACAGTCACTAATGCCAACAAAGTGCATAGTAGAATTGTTCCATCTGGAATGATGTATTTTTTATTTGGAAAATGCAAGAAATCGGCAATTTGCATGCCACTTGAGATGGTTAGAGTGACTATTTTTTATTTTTGAAGAAATTGTTAGAGCATGTTACCCTAACAGTATTAATAAGTACAAAGTTGTATACACCATCTTGTGAGATCTTTCATGCTTGATCTATACACTTTGAATGATATTGCTTGGCTTGCATTTTTGAGAGGTTGGGAGTTAAATGTTTGATTGTTGTAAAACTTTTGATGTTTTATTTGATCTTGTATTTCTAAGTTCAGCACTTCTAAGGATTTATTGGAGAATTTGCTTTCTAACAAAGCAAGTAGCTAGCGCATCTCTTCCCTCTTCGAGCCAACCGTTTGACTTCCTCTAACGAGCGAGTAAACAAAGTTCACCACTTACTACGTTCTTTCAGAACCTTAGATTCCATGAAATCAAATAATGATCCTCAGGAGCAAGAAGATGCTCCCCAGCGACCCTGGGGATCCAGCTCACTATCCGCTGTTACCCCTTTGCATTCCTTCATGTTTCAAATTTTTTACTCGTGTGCACGAGTTTAACTCTTTTAAGGTTTTTCTTTTAACTTTTACTTGATTAAAAATTCATTTAATTGCATGAAGCCTTTTAAAAAGAGGGAAGGAAAATAGGCAGCTATGATCTCTTACTAAATCCTCCTTTATTATTTTACGATACTAAACTATATCACTACCCCAAGGTTTAGAAGCTTTTTTGAGCTATTAGGTTCAGAAGGAGGAAAGAAATATGCGGAATTATGATCGAACTACCTTATCGAAATCGTTTTTATTATTTTTTAGTAAATTATAGGTTAAACTATAATTTAATCCCTATAGTTAACATCTAATTTTTGTTATATCAACTTAAAAATTTTGTTTATTTATTTTTGTAGTGTTTTTTCTATTTATTAGATCTTTTATCAATGTAAAAAATAAATAAACATATCTAATTTTTTCTGATAATAATAAAACGTCTTTGTTATATATGAAAATTTTAAAATATTTTATTAATCATAATTATCATTTTTTATTAATCTATTTATTACTAGATCAATGAGTTTTATCTATTGATTATACATGATCTTAAATCATAAATAATAATCTTTGACTTAAATATTTAGTATTTTAATCTTTTAAAAATTTTATTTTATTTTTATTTAGTACCTATTTTTAATCTTTTCTAAATAGGTTTATTAAATTTTTTATTTATTAAAATAAACTTTAATTCTTATAATGGATAATTATTTATAAATTAATTATTAGAATTAAAAAATTATATTTTAATTCATATACGAGTATTTTGTAATGTTTTAAAACTTTCTATTATAACATTATTAACTATGTTATAACTGTAATATCCTAAATTATATACGTGAGTTTTTTCATGCTAGAAAAATTTAAAATTTAAATGTTGTTTAATCTATTTTATTTTCTTTTTAACGCTTGTGAGTGATTTAAAATAATTATTGCGGATGTGAATTTATAAAAAAATTTTGCCAAACAAAAATTCTGCATCATTAAAAGTTTAAATCTAATAAATTTTAGAAGGTATTTTTTTAAAACAAAAATTACACCTCTCTCTTTTAAAACTTAGAATTTTTTTTCTTCCTTTCTCTTTTTCTCTCTCACAGACCCCACCTCCCAAATTGATATATATATATATATATATTGTGCATATCACTCTAGCACCATGTAGCATATTAGGTAGATAGTGAGAAATGAAAAATTAAGAGAGTTGCATGTGACACACCCTCGTTAGGAATGTGATAAATTTAAATGACCAAATGCATTAAGGAGAAAGTTTTTATTCTCTTTATTGTCACATCAAAGTGTCTTTAGTAGCCTAGAGAAAACAAAATCAGTGTGGGGTTTTATTGCCTCTTTCTTTACCAATGAGAATTTTTGCATGATTCATAATGAGTCACTAACTTATCTAAAAAATTAAAGAATTTTGGTATATTTTATTAAATTTAAATTATAAGTTAATGTAATTAATTGGAAATTTTAATAGAATATTGTAATTGCTGAAAAATTGATAGATCATTTATATTTTGATAGCCGACATTTGAATTTTGAAGGGATTAGAAGGAAATTGGCAATTAGACTTAAAAAGCAGAAGTTAGTGGTGCAGGACACAATTGTGGAGACACGATGCTGACAAAGCATATAAAAGCAGAATTTTCTAAAAAAGACATATCTTTTATCTTTCATTTTTTATTATATTCTGGAGGCGTAGAAATTTAGGTTTTTGTACAATTTACGTATGAATGACAACTAGGTTAATTTTCTTACTTCCTTTCTAGAGGATTCTTATGAGAACTTGGGTTAGACTCCCTTTTTCTCTGATTTTTGTAATGGAACAGTAGCTTCTTTCATTTCACTTATCTACTGTAAGCTATTTCTGTGAACATGATTTTTCTTTCAGCAATATATTTTAGTTTCATTTTATTTATTTTTATTATGTCTAGCTAAATATCTTGGGATTGAGTAAGGATGAACTTATTCTTTTACCTCTTGCAATGAACTAAGCATTGAATATAACTCAAGATACTAGGTTTAATCTAACATTTTGATTCTAAACTTAATGCTTCTCTATTTTACGTGAATGAAGTTGATGAAAAGGAGCTCATGGCTGGAAAGTTTTGAACTTTCTTGGACGAGGATCAATTTTCTTGTTATAAATTGTCTAGGAATAGAAATTTATGATGATATGGTCAAATGGGTTTTAAATCTTAGTGTTGAACATTTTTTGTTTTATCTAAGGATTTAGGAAGCTAAATTTGTTTTAGAACTAATTAACCAAGGAATTGGGATTGGGTATTTTAGAAAATCTGACCATTAGATAAAATTGTATTTTGAGTTATGCATATATTTTTATGCAAGGGAAAATGATAAGGGATTCTGAACTCACCCTACTTTTTAATTGTTGTTCCCACTTTCAGTAATTAAGGCATTTATATTCTGCAGTTATTTTGATTTTTGTTCCCAATTTTACTTTCTCAGTTTCTGCTCATTTATCAATTTCAATTCCAGCACTCTTACTTCATCTCTTACAATTCTGCATATATTTAATTTTTGCTTTGTTTATACTCTGTTCTTGGTAACCTAACTAGTATCATTCTTATGAGTGATACTTAGCATTAATCCCTGTGGACGATAAATCTATTTTATTACTTCAATGATTTGGTGCACTTGCTAAAAAGTTATCAAGTTTCTGGCACCGTTGCTGGGGATTAATTTTTAATATCAATTGTAATGAGAATTTGCTAGCTTGGGTTAATAATTTCTACTGTGTTTTAAGTGTTCGCAAGAAAATTAAAGTGCAGTAGAAAGGTTGTTCATGCGAGGAGAGGACAAGAACAAATCTAAACTTAATTCATCCTAGAACTTGATCAGCCAATTATTAATTTCAAGAAGAAAACTAAAAAGAAGGGATAGGCTTCAGAAAAAGAAAAAGAACCCAAGAAAAGAATTCTGCAGAAATGGCAGAAAACGCTAATGAAGTTAGAAGGACCTTGGATGATTATGCATGTGCAAGACTAAGAGGAAACTCCACTTCTATTGTTCAACCTCCCATTCAAGCAAATAACTTTGAGATCAAACCTAACCTTATGAGAGTGGTCTAACAAGAACAATTTGTTGGACATCCTTCTGAAGATCCCTACTTGCACATTCAAAATTTCTTGACTATATGCAGAATGATTAGAATGAATGGTGTGAGTGATGAGGCTATTCGGTTATCTTGTTTTCCATTTTCTTTAAGAGATAAGGCAAAAAGCTGGCTGCTATCCCAACCGGAAGGAAGCATAACTACTTGGGATGATTTAGAGAGCAAATTCCTGACAAAGTATTTTCTAGCCTCTAGAACAACCAAGTTGAGGCAAGAAATTTTGGCTTTTTCTTAAAAGGAAGATGAAAAACTGCAAGAAGCATGGGATAGATTCAAAGAACTTTTGAGAAGCTGCCCTTATCATGAGTTACCTGAATGGCTTCAATTGTGAACCTTTGATGATGGGCTGAATGTAGCAACAAAGACAATGGTGGATGCAGCAGTTGAAGGTTCATTTGCCCAAAAGACATTGGAAGAAACATGCCAACTTATTGAAGTCATGGCATCTAACAGTTACAATCACAGGGAAAGGAATTCTTCAAAAAAGGGTATGCTGGAACTGAACAACTTGGATGCATTACTAGCTCAAAATAAATTGATGTCATAGCAGTTGAGTTCACTCAACACAAAGCTTGAAAACATGAAGTTTGAAATGAACAAACTAGTGCGCTATGTAGCTTCAAGCCAAGAGGAATTTCATGAAGAATATTGTGAAGACAGAGCTAAGTTTATGTAGATACAAGGGGTTGAACAAGTTAATTTCATAAATAGTATGCCATAACAACAAAACTTCAATCAAAAACCACAGTGGCAGTAGCAAAATTTTCAGTAGAGACCTGTATATCCACCTTAACAGCAGCAGTTCAGACCAAATTGAAATTTCAATGCTAGGCTACCAAACCAATCACTATCCTCCACTTGCACAAAGGCAGAACCAACAACAAGGACTATGGCAGCAGCAAAATTTTCAAAATCAAGGATCAATGCAACAACCACATCAGCCAGCAAATGATCAGATATTATCTCTTGAAAAAGCATTTGTGCAATTAACTCAAACTATAAATTTATTTATGCAGGACTCAAGCACAAGGATGGCTAATCAAGAGGCCTCCATCAAGAACTTGGAGAATCAGATGGGCAGATTTTAAAGAAAATAAATGAACCAGTCCAAGGCTCTTTTTCTGGGAATACAATAGAAAATCCAAAAGAATTCTGCCAAGCAATTATTACAAGAAGTGGGAAAGTAATGGAGCCACAATTTAAGAAAAAGCCACTTGAAAAAGAAGATAATTCAAATGTTGAACAAGAAAAAGAGGTAGTAGAGCAACAACCAGAAGTTGAACTTGAAAAAGAGAAAGAGAAGGAGAAAAATCCACCAAAACAAAAATTGGTGGTGGATGAGGCATCCTGGAACAGATCTTTGAAGATTCATGCAAGCTTCAAATCCCCCTCCTTATGTTAAGCTGCTATATCCATACCTCCATAAGAATAAGGGGAAGGAAGAGTAATTTTCCAAATTCTTGGACATTTTCAGAAAGCTGCATATAAATATACCATTTACAGAAGCACTTGAGCAAATGCCTTTGTATGCCAAGTTCATGAAGGACTTGCTTTCAAAGAAGAGAAAATTGAAGGAGGATGCTACAATCACTCTAATTGAAAAATATAGTGCCATTTTGCGGCAAAAGTTACCTCCAAAGTTGAAAGATCTGCGTAGCTTCACAATCCCCTGCACTATAGGGAATGTGACCATTAGGAAGGCTCTATGCGACTTAGGGGCCATCATCAACTTAATGCCACTCTCCATCTTGAAGAAATTGGGAGTTGGTGAAGTTAAAAGTACAAGAATGGCTCTCCAACTAGCTAACCGATCCATTAAATACCTATATGGTGTAATGGAGGATGTGTTAGTGAAGGTAGACAAGCTAATTTTTCTAGCAGACTTTGTAACACCCTCATTTTTGTAATTTATTATTATTGCAATTAATGTTAGTTATTTGTGCATGTTATTTGAAATTAGAAGTATTTAATTGATGTGAACTATAGGATATCCCGCTGTAGCGAGAATGAGGCGGTGAAAATGGAACATTCTGGAGCCCTCTCACTGTAGCTAGAATCTCTCGTTGTAGCGAGGATACTCTCGTTGTAGCGAGGAGCTCTCGCTGTAGCTAGAATGACAGATAGCAAAGGACGAAAACTTCTGGTTTTTTCGTTGTAGCGAAAACTTCTCGCTGTAGCGAGAAAGTCGCGAGTTTGAGAGATATTTAAAGAACTCTCACCCTAAAATCTTCATTTTCAACCAAATCACATATCTCTCTCCATCCTCTTCGTTCTGTCCCTCTCCTTTATTAGAGAAAAACTCCAATAACTCTGGATCTCTTTCAGATTTGAGCTCAAACATCCGTTCTTCTCGGATCTAAGTAAGTTTCTCGAAGCTCAGATCTCTATTTTATCCCTTTTCTTCGATTCTCTCCTCATGTTAAGATCTCTACCTCGAAATACTTAGGAAACCTTATCTTTTGGAAGATCTCTCTGTGGATACTGTGGAATCTCTCTATAGATCACTCAGAGAACTAGTTGGGAGGAACCGTTACCAGGTAAGGGGAGTATTTTCGAGCTTTAAGTTTGTATATACGTATTTAACGATCCTAAGAGGATGTGAATAACCTATTTTAGTAAAAACCTATGATTTTATGGTGAAATGATATTTTGGGTAAAAGAAAGACTTTGAGTTCTTTAAAAGAAATGAAATCGAATTCTTAGAGAATGTATATGGATTAAGTAATAGAAGATATATAATAATGAACTCTAGGTTAGGAGATACCTTGAGATGGTACGAGTTAGGTTAAGTCTGAAGGTGTCTGACCTTCAACGCATTGTATTGCATGTATGGTGTGACATTGTGTGGTAGTCTCTGTAATAAGTTTGATATATTGTATTGGTTGCATGATATGACTTTGTATGACCACTTTATATGTTGAACTGGTATGATGCAATAAGTGTAGGTATAAAGTGATGACTGAAATATATGCAATATAAGTAGAATTATAGAAATGAATGAAGTGTTAAATGAAAGTGAAAGCATGTGATGTATGAATGAGAAATAAGAATATGATTGAGAAAGAATATGAGGCGTGATTATAATGCATGAGTCCACGCAACTTGAAATGGACTGATTATGATATAAATTATAGCACATTGAAAGGGTGTGTTATCATATATATTGTAATCCATGAATTTATATAAATTGTGACTCATGAATCATAACATGCTGATTGATATAAAGAATGTGAAATGAGAAATATTGAGAATAAGAAAGAGAATGAGTATAGATAGTACACCGATACACTGGGGTATAGAGTTACAGAGAAGATTTTGGAAATCTTGGGAAAATAAGAATGGTGAATGTTAACAATGAAAAGGGTGCACAATAAATTATTGAAAATAAACATTCACAGGCCACACCCTCATCTCTCGACGAAGCTCCTGACTATACCTTTGCTAAAAAAGACCGAGGCGGCACACGTGTATCCGTGATGTTGCGGCCAACCAGCAGCTATCTATGCTAGAAGTCCTCAAGGGATCCCAGGGGCAATTATGATAAAAAGTGTTATAAATGGGATATGATATATAATATGTATGATTATTATATATGTATCGTAGCAAATTGATTTATGTTGTTATGATATGTGTTGTAGTACATCAACGAGTGTTACTAGGACATATGTATTGTGACATATGAATTAAAATGATATGACGCATGTATAATAACATATAGGTCAACATAGAAATGTATGTATGATGAGTGAATTATGGTATGTGCTCTAATTGATGACTATATGATTGTATGTATTTGGATGTGATGAATGTAAATATGGACTGTACCCTGTTAATAATGAATTAGAATATGGACTGTAAATAACTCTAATTACTAGTAATTAATTTATATTAAAAGAAACTTAGTGGGGGTGGGAAATACTCACCCTTACTGATTATTTTCAGGTAATGAAAAAGAAGAAACAGAGATAGTTGATTCGTTTTAGGGTCATACTTGGCAGAGATTGTGGGAAAGAAACTGTTCAGATAAATTTGATTTAATATAATAAAATCACTTATGTATTTTATTTATTAACAGTAGAAATCTTCTAAGGAGAAATATTGTAAATTCATAAAGTTTATTAATTCGTATTTTCATATTGTACCATGTATTCCAAATATACAAGTTTTTATCAATTTTTTCCTAGTCATGTTTTAACAATATAAGTTATAAATGCAAATTATTTATATATTAAAAGAAGGATGTTACAGACTTTGTTGTTCTGGACATGGATGAAGACTCTAAAGTGCCCCTAATCTTAGGAAGACCTTTCTAGCTACTAGAAGAGCATTGATCGATGTGCAACAAGGGCAATTGATGTTGAGGGTGCATGATGAGAAGGTGACTTTCAAGGTTTTTGAGGCAATGCAGCACCTGGATGATGAAAATGACACTTGTTTCAGGATAGACATGGTAGAATCTCTGGTTACAGCAAAAAGTGTGATGCAGGAAAATTTGCAGACCCATTAAAGAAAGTTATAGTCAATACTGTCATGAACAATGATGAAGAAAGTGATAAAAAGTTACAAGAGATTGTGCAACAGTTGGAGGCTCAACCAATTTTGCAGAAAAGTTCAAAAGGATAATCATGGGAAGGAGAAAGAGTGGAAGAATCACCAAGGCTTGAGTTGAAACCTCTTCCCCCACACTTAAAACATGCTTTTGTGAAGGAGAAGGAAACACTTCCTGTGATAAGAAACAACACTTTATTATGGTTAGATGAAGAGGAATTATTGAGAGGCTGAGAGAGCAATTAACAACAAAAAAAGAATTTCCTAAGTTGTACAAGTTAGAGTTTAGGGCAGAACTCAACCCAATCATCCAACAACCATTATTTATTTATTTAGTTATTTATTGTTAAACTGATATTTTGCAGGCCAGAAAAGTGCTGCAATTTGTTGCAGCAAATATAATTTGGGCAGTAGCCATACTTCATGTCTATGGTTGTCTCAATACAAGTGCTAAAGAGCTTAAGTGCCCATAAAGAAAGAACAGGACCCAACTGTAACACCTTATTTTTAATAATTATTAAATACTAATTTCGCAATTTCAGGATAATAAAAGTTTCATTTCAAGTAAAGTTCTCAACCCATGGTTTCATCAAATATTTCAAAATAAGAAAAAGGGGTCACAATCTTCATCAAGTACTACTACAGGACCCTTTTTAAATACATTATTTTCAAATTTATATCCTAGTCCTATAGCAGTTCCATCCACCCCTTTCACTGAGTCTGGTGCTGATCGTCTTGGTTACCTAAAAAATGAATGTAAG